TGCAAAAATTAAAACCTTTCTCTCCCATGTCCTGCATCCTAAAAGAAGCGACGTCTTTACAATAGTGTGTGTACTTCAGTGCTCATGGCGATATAAAACTGAAGTAGAATGACAAGCACAATGACATGAGCTCAGTACTTTATCAAACATACAGTATCTAACCATGTGTCTTTTCAATTTTAGGGTCCCCCCAATAACCAAATCTAGCAAGTACAACCCCCCATTATTTATACCATGGTTAATGGAAACCTAGAATCAGGCTATCACGCCTTCAGCTCTTTTATAAGCGATAACCTTACTTACGAACCAAACGGAGCAGTTCATAAACCTTATGAATGAGCATGACCCGGGACTCTACTAAAACAGTTCACACTTCAACTCCTGCAATGTTCAGACCAAAACTACGCCCTTGATTATCGCTAACTAAAACAAAAAATAATAATAATAATTTACTTAATAAACACAAATGCTAGAATTGGGACCAATTCTCACTATTTGCTTATTAGCATTAAGATAATATTAAGATATTGGCTGTTTATTAGTACTTATAAAGCACATATTCTGCATGACCATATTCTACATCCCTAATTCTACCCAATACCTAAATTTAACAACTACCTTACTATTAATAAACAGTAAATTAGGAGTTTATTGAGGCAAAAGTCATATAGTTAATGGTTTGTTAATAGCGACAATTGGCCCTTAAAATAAAGTGTGACCACATAAACTGAAATAAAAATTATTTCAGGTATAGTTGCCAAGGCATTTGATATTGAAGTACTTAAATGACTCAAACTAAATAAACCAACTTTAATTATTAAAAATCACATGTAAAAACGACCAAAACACAACAAATAGACAAACTTTACAATTAAAAAAACATTTTCTTTAAACAGAAAATACAAAAACAACATCTATTTCAAATATTAACAAAAACTCTCTCATCAACACTGCTGTGGTAAATATGTAAATATTTTAAATGACAACAAATTAAATTCATGAAAGTCATGAACTTTTTTTTCATAAAGTTTTTCAGAGTTTACTCACCTAGTATAAGCAATGCATTCATAAATGTATAATTTTTACTTGTTTATTTTCCAATCATTCATGATTGTGTTTAACAATAATTTTACTCAAAACTCACAAGGTCTAAAGGGGCTCTACAGATCAATTGCTATTTTGGCTAATTCTGGCACATTTACAGCCATGTTTATTAATGTGCATTGCCCCTGGCAATGCCCCCTAAACTAAACTAAACTAAACTAAAGATTTAATCATTTCCATGACTTTTCCAGGTCTATCACACTTTCAAAATTCCCACATTTATTCAAGTTTTCCAAGACTATGGAAACACTGGTCTACTGGTTATTGTTGCAGGAAGACATTGTGAATTAGAAATATGATGTTAGTTTACGTCTTGATTTTTGACTTATTTTAAAGCTGTTTTATTATTTTAAACAATTTAAAGCCATCTCGTGGCCCCCTTTGTGCTGCGACCCCAGGCCCCTGGTTGAGAACAACTGGTATAAATCAAACATTAATTTCTTGGCTGACACAAATATTCTGATTAACAGAGTTCAGATTAAACTGACTTCTCCCCAAAGACTATGTAAGCCAGAGAAACTGTTTAATTTCTTCAGCATCAAATGTAACAGTACACATTCCAGTCCAGAGGGAACACTATGCCCTGGTTTTGCACTGTCAATAATGTGCCTGTCGATTTAGGTGAACTTCAAGAGCAGCGCAGTTTGATGAGACAAGTTTCCAGCAAGAAGTCATTTGTCTGTCCACCTCAAACGTGAAACTGCTGCGTGACATGATGTAATCACAGCCAATCAGAACATACGTGATGCTTAACGTGTAGCAGGATGAGATTTCACAGTGGGTGGTAGACTGGATTTGTACCGCATGTCAACTGTATACGTGTCCAGTCGTCTGGATAGAATGCTTCAAATAGTGTGTTAAACAAAAACTAATGGTGCTCTCGTTTGCTTGGCATCTGTGGCTGAGCTCTGCACTTTTACGAAACTGCTGCGTGACATGATGTAATCACAGCCAATCAGAACATACAGTATGTGATGCTTAACGTGTAGCAGGATGAGATTTCACAGTGGGTGGTAGACTGGATTTGTACCGCATGTCAACTGTATACGTGTCCAGTCGTCTGGATAGAATGCTTTAAATAGTGTGTTAAACAAAAACTAATGGTGCTCACGTTTGCTTGGCATCTGTGGCTGAGCTCTGCACTTTTACTGAAGAGAAACTGAAGTTTGGATGACGTGGTTCAGTAGAAACCTGAAGCTCCTCTGACTGATTGAGAGGAGATCAGTGTTTGGCTGCATAGATGGAAAGCTTCCTGCACCAATCAGCTAGTTTAACATACGAGTTTCCAGATATACTAGAAATGCTCTGTGATCCATTATGAAAAACATATGCTTGTATGATGGTATATCTGATGCATGATTATCCATTTGCCAGCTGCATGTGTAACACATCAAAAGAAACAACTGTTCTTTACTTCACACGTTACATTAGTGTTCATAATGTGTAATTATAGAAGTACTTAGTGGTTCTGTACATAATTACACATTGTTATTAGTAGATATTTTCATTGTCTTTGCTAAGCATAGAATTGCTTATTATTGTTCATATTTAGGCTCAGAGACCTGAATAAATTCTCTAATATTAAAATAAACTCAAAACGAGACAAATCATGGCACATGACTGATACCTCAAATCGTGTTGTTTGCCTAGAAATGATTGGATCATTTTGATCTGTCAGATGATAAATGGGCAAAATATTTAAAACAAAACAGACATACACTGAAGGATAGACCAAAGCCATATCTGGACACCAGTCATTGAGACTTGGAGGAGTGCTTTTAAAACTAAAACTATTACAAATCAGTTCAAATATTTTGAAATAATTCAAAATATTAGATGAAAAAGCTCAAACGTATGAACATTAAAAGAAAAGAAAAATTGAAATAAAAGAAAACAGAAAATCAGAAATAAAATACATTTAAATTGAAGTACTAAAATTACTGAAACAAAAATAGAAATTAAAATAAGTTTAAGCTAAATCAAAAAAATAAAACAAAAGCAAATAATAAAATGACTAAATCCTAAACTAAAATTAAAGATTAAATAATATGAAAAAAAAGCTAATTCAAAATATTATCAAAACCTATAATAGTATATAAATAATACTACAAAACACTGACCCTAGCAACCAATAACAACACTGTAGCATCATGGCAGTGATTTTTGCACTCACCAAATAAAAATACAGTTGAGATTACTATAGAAGGAAATTACACTAACTTGGACACTGTAATGTAAAGTGCTACATTTTTTCTCTTAATTAAAATATAAGGGCAGCTCTCTCATTCCCAAAGGCAGAAACGTAAGGAGAGTCAGTATAAACATTTACTCTGCATTTTTCAGTTGCACCAAGTAAAGATAATTGAAAACAATTAATAAGCAGTTTGTTTAATCAGCAAAAGCAGTTCTACAGTGTTACAACAATCAGACTTGGGTTTGGAGAACAGCTGTATTAATGAACTATGATCTGCACTAGTCTAATGAGGAGGAAACTTGCTTTTGATATTTTGCAATACATGGAGCAGCTCAGAAGGGAAATCTGATCATTGATCATCTAAAAAGTGATAATCTATGCAGAAACCACAAAACCCGGCCAAACTCTGTGCTCAGAGGAATTGTTTTTTCATATTATTCTGCCTTCCCAATGCAGAATCAATAAATGCAATCAAAACCAGTATTTATTGGAAATATGAGTCCTTACCTGCAGGACCTGCACGTCTCTTTTCAGTGCTTCAGATTCTTCAGTTATGACTGACCTGTCAATCAAACAAGACCTTCTATTATAAGTCTAAATATGTAGTCTAAATCGACAGACTTTAAGTGGATTGGGAAAAATATAAACAAACAAAAAAGCCATAATTTTAAGTGGTATTAAAAATTAAATTCAAATAATTATGTTCATAATGGCAACCATAAATAACTATCTACATTCTACTCCATTATGGACTGCTATGAAATAGGGGACTGCTTCTCATTTAAGTACTTCATACAAAACATGACATCTTCAATTACACTTAAACAAGTGAAATAAGTAAAGAGTTTTTATCTGAACTGGACACTGCACCGTGAACTCTTTTCCAGATAAGTGGGGACTGAAAATTGGCCTACTTCTCTGTTACATAACCTTTGTAGTCACTTAAACTCCCTTCACTTTTCTTTTAAGGCTAAGGAATCTTACATATGTCAGGGTCTGGTATTCATTTGCTCACAATGAGGTCTTTTGTTCTGATGGAGGGATAGATCGGGCTGCTCGCTTCAGTTCCCCTCCCTCTATCTCAAAACCCTGCTGCCCCGCTGAGCAGGACTTACTGTTAGCATTCCTCTTGGCTGGGTGGGGAAGGAGAGGATGGGAGGTAGGGAAGAGAGAGTGGTAAGGAGTTGAGCGAGGGGTCTGAAGAGTAAAAGGGAAGAGGTCTGGAAAGTTGGACTGAAAGAGACAGGCTTCAGGACAGAGTGAGAGAGGAACTTCAAGAGGGTCTCTCTTCCCTTGTAAGATGTGCTGAGGCTGCACGAAATGGTCATATCAGTAATTAAAAGCACATGATATTTAATAAATATATAAATAAAAATAATGAATGTGATTTAATATTGTTAAATACTAATTTCATGAAACTTTATTAATTTATTATAAAATGTAATACATTTTATTAAATAAAAATAAATAAATTAAAACCTTTAGTGTATTATATATATATATATAAAATTGAATAAAAATAAATGCAAACCTTTAGTTTATATAAATAAAAAAAAATATATATATATTTTATTTATATAAACTAAACATCTAAATATAGATAATAAATATATATTTTATCTATAGATATTTATTATCTATAGATAAAAATAGATAATAAATACATTATATCTTCATAAAATAATGTGAACTAATTAATTAACTATTTCATTAATTTCAAATGAACTAATTTTGTAGCCAATTTAAATTCAAGCATTTAAGCTTTTTAAGATCAAGAGAAACTAGTTCAGTCAAGTGTGTCCAAACATTTGACTGGTAGCATATGTATGAGCTTACAAACAACCTTAAATTCAAAATGTAGATGGTGATTTCGAACCAGTAGTAGGTAATATAATCCTAGATGAAAGTGTGTGTGAGCATGAGCTGACTTGGAAAGAGGCAAAAAGCAAGGACGGTGAGGCAGTCCAACACTCTATTCTCACAACAGCATGTTTGCACAAGAAGGAGCGTGTCTGGTCTGCATCCACAGTCAGCATGAGCACATGTTGAGCAAAGAAGGGAGAATTCTGCTCTGAGGAATGTGTGTTCCACAATATTAACTTCACTGCGCAACAGGATCAAACTGCAAACGGACAATCTTGCTGGCTAAAAAGTCATTACATTGTGTACATGGCCTCGGGTGTAAACAAATTATTCCAAAATTGTCTGCTTGATAAAAAGTAATTGCATTTGTTGTATGCATGGAATTAGGTCTGACATTTTACTGTGTTGTTCATAGTTTTCATAATAAGCACAAAGCAATCCTCAGTTATAATAGCATTTCCTCGCACTCTGGGTGACTTCCATTTCTGTGCTCTACTCACTCCAAAGGGCAGAGCACTTGAAGTGAGCTTTCTGAAGGGTGCAGTGCATATACACTACCAGTCAAACGTTTTTGAACAGTAAGGTCTTTAATGTTTTTAAAGATATGTCAGGGTCTGGTATTCATTTGCTCACAATGAGGTCTTTTGTTCTGATGGAGGGATAGATCGGGCTGCTCGCTTCAGTTCCCCTCCCTCTATCTCAAAACCCTGCTGCCCCGCTGAGCAGGACTTACTGTTAGCATTCCTCTTGGCTGGGTGGGGAAGGAGAGGATGGGAGGTAGGGAAGAGAGAGTGGTAAGGAGTTGAGCGAGGGGTCTGAAGAGTAAAAGGGAAGAGGTCTGGAAAGTTGGACTGAAAGAGACAGGCTTCAGGACAGAGTGAGAGAGGAACTTCAAGAGGGTCTCTCTTCCCTTGTAAGATGTGCTGAGGCTGCACGAAATGGTCATATCAGTAATTAAAAGCACATGATATTTAATAAATATATAAATAAAAATAATGAATGTGATTTAATATTGTTAAATACTAATTTCATGAAACTTTATTAATTTATTATAAAATGTAATACATTTTATTAAATAAAAATAAATAAATTAAAACCTTTAGTGTATTATATATATATATATAAAATTGAATAAAAATAAATGCAAACCTTTAGTTTATATAAATAAAAAAAAATATATATATATTTTATTTATATAAACTAAACATCTAAATATAGATAATAAATATATATTTTATCTATAGATATTTATTATCTATAGATAAAAATAGATAATAAATACATTATATCTTCATAAAATAATGTGAACTAATTAATTAACTATTTCATTAATTTCAAATGAACTAATTTTGTAGCCAATTTAAATTCAAGCATTTAAGCTTTTTAAGATCAAGAGAAACTAGTTCAGTCAAGTGTGTCCAAACATTTGACTGGTAGCATATGTATGAGCTTACAAACAACCTTAAATTCAAAATGTAGATGGTGATTTCGAACCAGTAGTAGGTAATATAATCCTAGATGAAAGTGTGTGTGAGCATGAGCTGACTTGGAAAGAGGCAAAAAGCAAGGACGGTGAGGCAGTCCAACACTCTATTCTCACAACAGCATGTTTGCACAAGAAGGAGCGTGTCTGGTCTGCATCCACAGTCAGCATGAGCACATGTTGAGCAAAGAAGGGAGAATTCTGCCCTGAGGAATGTGTGTTCCACAATATTAACTTCACTGCGCAACAGGATCAAACTGCAAACGGACAATCTTGCTGGCTAAAAAGTCATTACATTGTGTACATGGCCTCGGGTGTAAACAAATTATTCCAATATTGTCTGCTTGATAAAAAGTAATTGCATTTGTTGTATGCATGGAATTAGGTCTGACATTTTACTGTGTTGTTCATAGTTTTCATAATAAGCACAAAGCAATCCTCAGTTATAATAGCATTTACTCGCACTCTGGGTGACTTCCATTTCTGTGCTCTACTCACTCCAAAGGGCAGAGCACTTGAAGTGAGCTTTCTGAAGGGTGCAGTGCATATACACTACCAGTCAAACGTTTTTGAACAGTAAGGTTTTTAATGTTTTTAAAGAAGTCTCTTATGCCCACCAAGCCTGCATTTATTTGATCCAAAGTACAGCAAAAACTGTACAGCAAAAACAAATTTGAAAATATTTGTACTATTTCAAATAACTGTTTTCTATTTGAATATATTTTAAAATGTCATTTATTCCTGTGATTTCAAAGCTGAATTTTCAGCATCATTACTCAAGTCACGTGATCTTTCAGAAATCATTCTAATATTCTGATTTGCTGCTCAACAAAACATTTACTATTATGATGTTGAAAACAGTTGAGTAGATTTTTTTCAGGTTTCTTTGATGAATAAGAAGAACAGAATGAGTTCAGAAGAACAGCATTTATCTGAAATA